AATTTAGTTTCTTTTGCTTGCTTTCCCAATGCATTTGGATATTGCCCTAATGTTCTTAAAGAGGACATGTTGTTGGCAATATAATCTAAATTTCACCTTATATATTAATAGGCCCATAGCAAGAAACATAGGAAGACGACATAGTCACCTTATGGCAGTGGTTGCCAACCTGTGGGTCCTCAGATGTTTTGGCCTACAACTCCCAAAAAGCCCAGCCAGTTTGGCCTTCAACTTCTGTGAGTTGAAGGCCAAAACATCTGAGGACCCACAGGCTGAGAACCACCGCCTTATAGTGAGTCAGACCATTATACTATCTAGCTTGGTATAATCTCTATCACTGTTTTTCATGATATGAGGAGCCTGCAATATTTTACCCAATATGCCAAGTCTGGCACCATATCTGTTTCCGTTGGGTACAACTTCTTTTTTCTTACTATGAACCAACAGCTAACAGCTTGCAAACTAACACCAGTCCAAGGAGTATTGCTTTGCATAGTTCTGGTCTACAATGCCCTACTCTAGTCTTCTGTAACACATCTGTAGGACACTGAGGGCACACCCAGACAGCCCCTTTATTGTGATAACTCCTGCAATAAAGAAGGGGCTATCCAGATGATGTCCTGGACAACCCTGAATTAATTTACTACAAACCAGGAAAACCCTGTTTTGTAGCAAATCAATTAATTAGTGGATTTATTCCATGCCTTCTTGGAGGGTCCAGGATAAACCCACTATTTCTGGTGTCTGGACTGCGGTCTGAACACCCCTCCCACAGTTTTCTGGATTAAATTAGCCCAGAAAACTGTGGGAATACCCACCCCTCCCCCAGAGCCTCCAAACCCCTTTGAAAAGTAAAGAAAACTTACCCGGTCTCCATTACAACCTTGGAGCAGCTCTCCCCGCGCATAGTAATGATGTACCAGGAGAGCGGAGTGGGAAAGAAAAGGACTCCCCCCCCCCCCCCCCCCCGATCTCCTGACACGTCATTACTTCACACTGGGAGAGCTGCTTCAAGACTGTAAAGGGGTTTGGGGGCTTTGAGGAAGGGGAGAGGGTCCCCAGATGTTCTGCCGGGCTCATCTCAGCAGAACATCTGGACACCCAGATGTTGCCCAACAGGGGCAGAAGACAGCATTCTTCTCTTGATTAGAAAACATCCTACGACACTTCCATGCCAGTTGGGGGTGGGGCCTCGGCCAGAAGTTGAAGGATGTCGTGTGATGGGCTGTGTTCCCATCTGTTCCTCCACTGGCTGGCAAGCATCCTAGGATGCTTAAATTGGACAGTGTGATGAGGGCCCTAGAGAGGTATTCTCTCTAGAAATTTCTTAAGTCATCCAACTGCCTGGAGGAAGATGACCACAGAGTCATGTTGGAAGACTTTGGGATTTCTAGTACAAACATGTTAATCAAATCCCTAAATAATCAAATCAGCAAAAGTCAAAACCTGAAATGTGGAGGGACACACTGCAGTTGATTCAAGTAGCATATTATGTGCAGTGTAAAGGGGACAGTGACAGTTGCTAATTTTTTGGAAGATAGGACTCTTTTCTGCCATGTTCCTTTAAGCAAGCCTAATATCAGTGAGTGAGATAGAATATGTTGTTCTGTTATCACTGTTGAATCAAGAATTATCTGACATGTTTATTGTCTTGTATAGGTGGAATTATGTAGTGGTGAAAGGGAGAGACCATTTGTGTTTCACCTCAGGCAAGAGGACCATCCTTATACATGACATTTGAATCAAGACTTGCCATCATTCATCCACCACAGTGTAGTGTTAGCAGATTGTGCTAAGAAAACCTCATGGCAGCTTTCCCTGAGGGTCACAGTAAGTCAGAAATGACCTGTAGTCACACAACAACATCCAGTCCCTCTGATTCCATCACCTAAACATTCTGGTCCTATGATGCTTTAGCACAGGAATCCCTAAACTAAGGCCTGCAGGCCAGATGTCGGCCTCTAAGATAATTGATCCCACCCTAAACTTTAGATTTAGGATTGCTGTAAGTTTGAAATGTCTTGAAGCCACACAACAACAACAATAAAAATCCTAATTAACTTGATTATCTCATCAGCCAAAAGCAGGTACACACTTCCCATTGGAATACTGGAAAGTTTATGTTGGTTAAAATTGTTCTTCATTTTGAATGTTGTGTTGTCCTTTCATGTTTTTTGCACTATGAATAAGATATGGGCAGTGTGAACAGGAATTTGTTCATGCTTTTTTCAAACTATAGTCCAGCCCCCCTCCTCCCCCCCAATAGTCTTAGGGACCATGAACCGTCCCTCTGCTTAAAATGTTTGAGGACCCCTGACTTAGCCAATTCAGCTCTAAGGACCATCAGGATGGACATTTTTATATTGTGACTATACAATAGGTTTATTTCTTCAGGTTTTTGTGATATGGTGAAGCGGTTTTGAGCACATTCTAATAGTTGTCATGGTTCTGACTTTAAAGAGTGGGTTTTAACTCTTTTGGGAACAATTGGAAGAATATTTTAACTATTCTAATATTATCCAGAAGTCCAGTCCAGATATGCTTAATTTGCTACATGAAGAGAGATTAAATAAATGCCCCCCCCCATTTATACTTTAAGTTTTGTACTTTGCTCATATCATGTGAAGACATGACCCCCCTAGAAAAGACAGTAATGCTTGGAAAGGTAGAAGGAAGCAGGAAATAAGGAAGATCACATTCCAGGTGGATTGACTCAATCAAGAAAGCCACAGCCCTGAGTTTACAAGATCTGAACAGGGCTGTTGATACCAGAGTGACATGGAGATCTCTCATCCTTAGGGTCTTCATAAGTTGAAGTTGACTTGACGGAAACAACAGCAACAGATTTGGACCAAAATAGCATCTTGCTAATTTTAAAAATCTTACTCCAAGTAGGTCCTAAACTAATTATACAGTACCTCAGATAATAGCTCATAACAATTGTTAATAATGTATTTTGCATATGATGAGACCATAATGGCTTTCAAATGAACAGCAACTGCTTAGGGAAGACACCTGTGACACATTTTCACTGAAAACACAACAGACAACTATGTAAATGCAAGCCGTTATGATTCCCCTAAGCACTACAATGGGCAACTCATCACCTTTATGTTTCTTCTTCTCCCTGCTATTAGAGACTGCTAGACTTTAATTCGGAAAATAGCTCCAGGTTGAAGAACAGGCAAACTGTCTTTCACTTGACTGGATCTTTATGTGCAAGAACTGTAGTTCATCGCTCATATCTGATTGATCACTTGGTTCAAACTAAGCTTTAAACCTTGGGCATCAGTTTTTCCAAGTTTCCAATAAAAGGTCTGGTCAAAGAACTTTCCCCTTTCCAAAGCCTTAGCATTTGGAGCCACTCTTATTTGATGAAAAATTATCTCTAATGACGCAGCAATCTAATCATATAAAAATGGCCCTACAAAAGCAGAATATCTTCTTGAACAGGTAGCTATCCAGATTTTTGCCATTTGTGTATTTCATATCTTTAGTCAGCCACAGATGATTTGCTTGCTTTCTGTATTTCTTCTACATAGGGTTGTTTATTTTTCATTTTATCACGTCATCCATTACTAGTCAGCATACATGGTACTAGGCTACATGGACATGGTACTTCCTGTGCACCATATATACATGGGGTTGCCTTTGAAGACTGTTTGGAAGCTTCAAATAGTCCAATGGGTGGCAGCCAGATTGCTCACCGGAGCGGAATACAGGGAGCACACAACTCTCCTGTTACTTCAGCTCCACTGGCTGCCAGTCTGCCACCGAGCACAATTCAAAGTGCTGCCTTTAGCCTATAAAGCCCTAAATAGTTCCAGCCCAGCTTACCTTTCCAAACATATCTCCTCCTATGAACCATCTCAGAAGTTAAGATCTTCTGGGAGGCCCTGTTCTTGGTCCTATCTGCTATGCAAGTGTGGTTGATGGGAAGAGAGACAGTGCCTTCTCAGTGGTGGCTCCTCAGCTCTGGAACTCTCTCCCCATGAGATTAGTGCCCTCCCTCCTGGCCTTCAGAAAGAAAACAAAGACATAGTTATGGGTCCAAGCTTGTGATTAGTAAAGTAATGCAATACAAAAAATAGGATATGTAATATGTGCAATCGATATTTGGAATGGCCCTTGTCTATGAGTTTGGATCATGTGATTTTAATATTTATATTAATTTATATTAAAATTTTATCTCCTCATGTCTAAATGTTGTCTATCTTATGTCTAATTGTTTTATTGATTTTAATGCATAGTTATATGTTTTGTTTAGATTTATGATTTGTTTTTATATGTATGTGAGGCATTGAATTTTGCCATTATTGTTGTAAACCACATTGAGTCCCCCCTGGTGTGAGAAAAGTGGTATATAAATACAGTAAATAAATAAATAAATGTTTATATGTGTTTGTATATGAAGGTATGTAAAATTCATTAAACATTTGAAAAGTACTATAGAACTGGTGGTTGTGGTGATTATGTGCCTTAAAGTCAACTCCAATCTATGCCAACTGTATTCTAGAATTTTCTTGGCAATATATATTAAGATATATATACCCTTGTCTTTTAGAATTGTAGTCCAATGCTTAAACCATTACTTGCATTATGGAAGAAATTGCAAATTAAGAATGGAGTATAGAGGAAACAATAGGAAATATAAGTCTGAACATTGGACTGGGCAGATATAAATCCTAACTTATTTCATTTTCATTGACGAACAGAATTTTTTTCCCATCTAGAGTTTGTTTTGACCTGTTTTATATCTGTTTTTTAAATTGCAAAACTGTTGGGTATATTTAAATTTATTAAAACAGGTGTATTTATTTATTATTTTAAATTGATTTTATTATAAGCTGTACTGAGACCTTAGGAAAAAGCATGGGACATGAATATTTAATTAAATCTCAGTCTTTAGCCCCATCATTGCCTTACAATTCCAGAGTTTCATTGCACACATTCATATTGCATGAGTGTCCAAAGGATAACATTTCTCTTTCTGTTGACAGTGCCTACACAGAACCTTACAAGGTGTGCCCCATCTCTGTGATTCCCCTTGAAGATGTCACGTCGGATGAAGAACAGAAAAGCTCTGGAGATGAAGACAGCAGTCAGGGGGACTCCAGCCTCATCCACAAGGTAAACATCAAAAGTGTTTTTTTTTAATTATTATTTTGGAACAGTTCAAGAAAGAAATCATGTAGATCTTGGGAAGTTTACTAGGCCATTTCTGCTATAAATACTATTCCCAGTATGGCTAAAGCAGAGTGGTGACTGCTGAGAGCAACTGTCAGCCCCTGAGGCAAAGCTGGATACCTGAGAGCAGCCATCTGCCCTGCAAAACATCCCAGGGACCAACTCATGGTCCATTTCTTCTCAGAAAAGATATTTTAGACACTGGGAAGGAAGGGCCAAGGGGAAAAGACAGGTGTGTCCATGAAAAGCAGGAGAAGAGGGGATAGATCATAGAATCGTAGTGTTGGAAGAGAGTCCCATGGGCCATCTAGTCCAACCGTCTACCATTCAGGCAAAGCACAATCAAAGCACCTCTGACAGAATGAAATACTCCTTGTTTAGAGTCTTTAGCCTTCCCAATAGTCCCAATGCACATCTTTTTATCTTCCTCTCCGTTGTATAGCTGGAACATTTGTTTCTGCTAGACAGAGAAGATGAAGAAACATGGGCAAGTGAAGGTTTCCAGCTGTTCCACATGTTTATCACTGAGGTGTTTGGGAAACAATTGTAAGGCATGGCTTCAGTTAAAGTTTATGTTTATTTATATATTTCTCAAGTATATAAATATATACTTGGGAAACCAGGGGGTTTTTTAGATCTTGTATTAGACTTTATTAATGTATGGACTGTTAACACACTGAACTTTCTTTGGAATTCACTCCTTGTAGTTATCTTTCTTGTAATCAGGTTATCATGGAAGCTTGAAAAAGTTAAACTTGAAACTAAATAAATAATCTGGGCTCTGATATTATTGTCTCAGACTCCTCCCTCAGGGATCTCCAACACAAAGGGAGGTGGGCTGGTCAGAGAGGAAACCCCTTTTTGGTAAGGACACTCTGGCTATAGGATTGTCTCCCTGGGAGAGATACAATAAAGTGATCTTTTGCACAAGATGAAGTAGTTATAAAATGTAGTCCACATGAGCAAATCTCATTGAATTGTCACCAAGAAGAATTGGCAGACATAGGTAATTTTGCATGCCGAAAATAGTACCAAGTATTTGGAAATGAGCTAATCTTGTGAAAACAGTATTTGGGCTGGTCCAGTAACAAGAGAGAGCTTTTGATTTTCTTTTAAGATGTTTTGCTTTTTGGTCTATGGTTTCCATCTCCCAGGAGAAAATCAGCTTGAATAAAAGCATGAGATCACCTAGCCGATAAGATCTATAGTTTTATCTGGAAAGTGTGCTTAAAAAACAACCTTTTAAATAGTTCCTCCTATAGGTGATTAAGATCTGTTAGAAAATAAAAGATTCCTAATTTTTTGATTGCATTTAATTCTTTATTCTACTGTCTGTGCATATATTATATAGTCTTAAATAAAGCTCAGTTAAAATGTATACATTCAGTTATCTATACTGAAATGGTAAAGGCATGATTAAGACAAGATGCACATTGTTAGGTCCTACTGATAACAGTGGGAAAGAATGAAGTCCAGGCAGTCCCCAAGTTACAAACATTCTACTTACAAGTGACTCATGGTTACAAATGGGGGTGAGACAACAGGAACTGAGAGAAATCACTCTCAGGAAATGAAATTCACTTCTGAAAAAGTTGCCCCACTGAAGCTTTATCACCAATCCTTATTTCCACAACAAACCAAATTTTTCAAAATCCAATTATCACAGGGCCAGAAAATGCTCTGAAATCTTCTGAACAGTGGCACAGACAGCAAAACAAACACCACAGGGATATTGACCTTTCCCCATGCTATCCAAAGCTAATGTACTCTGTGTGTCTATGTATGTATGTATGTGTGTGTATGTATGTATGTATATATATATATATAGAGAGAGAGAGAGAGGGAGGGAGGGAGGGAGTTCCACTCAAGAAATGTACATGTTCCGACTTACAAACAAATTCAACTTAAGAAGAATCCTACAGAACCTATCTTGTTCGTAACTTGGGGACTGCCTGTGTGTGCTTCCCAGGTGAAGTCAGTGGTAACTGGCTGACCTTTAATTTGTCTGGGTTAGGATTATTTGTCTGGGTTAGGTTAAAATGTCCCTTTAATTATTGTGTAGAAGAGGGAATTTCAGCAAGTGCTTCTTCTTGCCTGGTTGAAGTACAAGCAAAATTTGCTAACATTCCTTCTTTTGCGCAACCATTAAAAGTACTGGAACTGTCCCCAGTTTTTTTCTGGCAACCGTATGTGCATTGTATTTTAGTATTCGTAAGCATAAGAGGACAAATGAAATTGCATGGCCTCACCTTTTTTATTGTGTCACCATTTGTATGTGCAGAGGTGCCCTTTGGATTTGCCCACACTTTTTCATAGCCTTTTTGTTTTTACCTAGACATGGTATTTTCTTTGGGACATCTCCTAAACATTTATATTCTATGAAAATATAATCCCAACTAATCTCTGCTGTGCTAAATTAATACTTCAAAATCCTCTGAAACAAAGGTGGCATACAACACATAAATGCCATCAAACCTTTCTTTGTACACCACCCCCCCCCCAAATCTGATTATGTTTTAGGGGGACTAGCAGATATTACTTACACGCCAATATTTCCTCTTCCATATGGGACAAACAGTATCTTACTGGGAAAATGTCAAACTTAAGCATGGTGCAAGGGAAAAAATTGTAGACCTTGCTTCCTCTACTGCCACGGCTCCAATTCAATGGGCAGTTGTTTGAAACTGTCTTTCATTATTAGAATCATAGTTTGAAGAGGCCTCAAGGGCCATCCAACCCAGCCCCATTCTTCCATGCAGAAACACACAACGAAAGCCCCCAACAAATGGCCATCTAGCCTTTTTTGAAAACCTCCAGGGAAGGAATTCCAAGGCAGCATATGCCATTGTTGAACTACAAAAGAGAGAGATTGAAGAGGAGGATGGTTGGAAGAATAAACTGTGGATCTCTTTCATAACATGTAGTTTGGCTTTCCAAATGTCTTCTCATCCCAGAAGTCCCCACACTATTGTTCTTAAACACTAGATCTCTAGGTTGTGCTGACTTAGGTTAATTGTGCCTGGGGATCCACAAAAAAAAAAAAAACCTGGCAGATGGTGCTGCACTAGAGTTGTTCTCATTTTTAACCTCTCTGATACACTTTAGAGAAAACTGTGTGTCCTTCAAATAGGTGGAAATTCCCCTTTATTTTACCTTTACTTAATTCACCTATGAAGCATATTGGAGCTGTCATTCCCATGGGTGGTTTCTTTCACTATTTCTCTCTTGTTCTGTGTTTGTTTGCTTTTTCTGAAGGTGACTTTGTTTCTCCTAGCTTTGCTTAAAAGCAACAAATACTTGGAAGAAAACTTTAGAGCAATGCACAAATATGCTTTCCTTTCCTTTACCCCAAAATTCCCATTACATTGCAGTGATAGTCTGAGACAAGATGTGGGCTTTTTTTCAGGAGTGTTTCCTCCTCATTTCAGGAACCAAACTAGCGCGTAGATGTAGTACTAGGGACCGAGTGGCTCCTCAGTGCTTTCTCTCAATAGCACAAAGCAGCCCCAACCCACAGCAAATATCTGAGCTTCATTTTGGCAAACATGCAGAGTTCTTGTCCTCTCTTGTTCTACTTTCTAGCTGGTCTTTTTGTGTGGCGCTATGTGTGAGGCCTCTGTTACTACCCATAAAAGACCTACCAATGATGCTTTCTCTTTTGCCCTGTTATAAAGTTTGAATGTGGGTTGGGAGAAGAGATTTCATGTTGCTCATGGAAATAGGTGATTCACAATCCAAGAGTCATGTGTGAATAATATTTTCTAATGTAATAGTCAAGGAGGAGATTGGTTGCCACAGCACCAGCCTAATAGCACTATTATTTTTATAGTTATTTGTTGAATCTATATCTTGCCTTGCCTTCAGGCTGTGACTAGGGATGTATCATCTACTACACTGTGGAATTAATGTTTGGCACCACTTTAACTGACATGGTTCAATGCTATGGAATCCCAGACCTTGTAGTTTAGAGTGGCACAAGCATCCTTTGACAGAGAAGGCAAAAACCTTGCAAAATTCAAACTCTCATAATTTTATAGGGTTGGCCATAACAGTTAAGGTAGTGTTAAGCTGCATTAATTCTTGGTGGTGGGTCCGTAAATTACCGTGAAGACCTATTCTGGATTCGCATGGTCTCTCACAATGAAGATTTAGATTTCCTGATAGAAGGCGAGTATAACAAAGGATTGCTTGACTTGCCTTCCTCTTTGCATGTATCTTCCTTTTGTCCTATCTTTGTACCTCTTCAAAATCCATAGTACTGTTGGCAACACCTGACTTCCAGTTCGGGCACTTGAGGGCAAGGGCTTTCCAATTCCTTGCGTTTACTCCACATTTTTAGGTTTAGTGTTAAGCCCATCTGTAAACCTCTCTTGCTATCCACCAACATTCTGTTTTCCATTCTTTAGCTGAGAATAAAGTAACTGCTTTGGGAGGTAGTGATTGGACATTCAGACAATGTGGCCACTTCAGGGAAGTTAATGGCAAAGGATCATTGCTTCAATGCTGGTGGTCTTTGCTTGTTCCAAAACACTGACATCTGTCTGCCTTCCCAAGACATTTGCAGAAATTTTCAAAGGTCCCGTAGGATGCAGCCATGGCAGTTGAAGTGGAATCACTGTGCTATAAATGTGTTGGATTCCTGTTGATTTAGCTCTTGCAGAAGTACTGCAACCATAGATACTTTACATAACATCACACAAAAGCTGGCTTGTGTGATAGACTACACGTTCCTGAAATTTCCTCTACTATACAACCACTGAAGGAACAGGAACCCCTTCTAGTTTTCCATCTGGCAACCCTAAGATAATACTGATGTTTTTCATTACTACTGAAAATTATACTTGGAAAGCAGAAAGATTTAATGGTAAAAATTAAATGTTGGTAATGTGATCTCAGCAATAATGCTAACATTTACACAGGAAAAAAACTCAGAACACAGATGT